CAGAATATGCTCAATGGCTAATAAAATACCATAGAGCTCTGCGGTGAAGATGCTTGCCATTGAGTCAAGCTGTACAGCTCTTTCAAAGTTACTAGAATAAACTGCACAACCAACGTGACTTAAAGATTTCGACCCGTCGGTATAGTACTCGTTGCAACCTCTGGATATCCTTTCTTGTAAAGATATAAACTCTTCCTGAAGAAACTGTGGAGCAACGGTTTCCTTACTGTATTTGGTGAGAGACCAGTCACAACATACGGGTAGCTCGTTCCAAGGGGCAATTCTCTCCATAGACTTTAGCAAGTTAACACCACTTGTGGAAGGGACAGGGAGGTTGAGAGAGTTACAGATACTTTGAACTCGAAAGCCTAGGGGGCGCACAATTGTTGGCTTGTTTTCAAACAATTTACAGAACTGAGGGGTGTGTAAAATACTATAAGCAGGATTTTTGGGATCCGAGAGGACTTTGTAATAATAACACAGGCTCAAGTACTGTCGCCGTTTTCCAAGAGACATTTGATGTGTGTCCACATACAAGCTTAATACAGGTGATGTGCGAAATGCCCCAGTGGCAAGCCGGAGCCCAAGGTGATGAACCGGATCCAACATCCTTAGTGTGGAAGGTCGTGCTGAACCATAAACGATCGCTCCATAATCCAGGCGTGACCGAACTAAAGCATTGTACAACCGTAGGAGGCATCGCCTGTCAGACCCCCAAGATACATGGGACAGCACCTTAAGGATGTTAGCGGATTGCAAGCACTTCTGCTTTATTTCCTTTAAATGAGACTTAAATGTAAGCTTTTTATCAAAGATCATGCCTAAAAATTTATGTTCGTGCTTCACCGATATTTCTGTGTTATTCAATTGTAAGAATGGATCCAAAGATAGACCTCGTCGCAGGGAGAAGGGCACACACACAGTTTTCTCTGGGGAGAATTTAAAACCATTTTCATTTGCCCACCTGCTCATCCTATTTATTGTAAGCTGCAATTGCCGTTCACAACTAGAGAGGTTGCAAGACGAAAAAGATATTTGCACATCGTCCACGTAAAGAGAGTAAGAAACGGATGACGGTATAACTTGAGCTAGACTGTTTATCTTAACTGCAAATAAAGTGGCACTTAAAACTCCGCCCTGGGGGACACAATTTTCTTGTAAGAAGATACTGGATAAAGTCGAGCCTAATCGAACTTGAAATGTATGTTCACTTAAATAGTTCTGTAAGCAACGGAGCATGCGGCCACGCACTCCACAGTTGTACAGATCTCGAAGGATACCATACCTCCATGTAGTGTCGTATGCCTTCTCTAAATAAAAAAACACGGACACACAATGCTGCCGGTGAACAAAGGCCTCGCGTATGACGGTCTCAAGTCGGACCAGATGGTCCATAGTCGACCGTACAGCCCGAAAGCCACACTGGTTAGTATCGAAAAAGTTTTTCTCCTCCAAAAAAAACATAAGGCGGCGATTTATAAGCCTTTCATAAGTTTTCCCCAAGCAGCTTGTAAGTGCTATGGGGCGGTAGCTTGTAGCTAGAGAGGGATCTTTTCCAGGCTTCAGCAAAGGTATAACGTGGGCACATCTCCAAGTATGCGGAAAAGCAGCAGCTTCCCAAAGGTAATTGAAAAAGGATAGCAGGTGGTACAAGGATTCATGAGAGAGGTGTTTGAGCATCTCGTAGTGAACTCTGTCTGGCCCAGGTGCAGACTGCTTTTTTAAGCTGAGAGCAACTTCGAGTTCACACATTGTGAATGGTTTGTTGTATGCAACAGAGTTAAAGCCCGACATAGTGAATTTCTGTTTTTCAGCGGTAGACCGGAACTTTACAAACTCCGTACTGTAATTGGAAGAGCTACAAACACGCTGAAAATGTTCTGCGAGGAAGTCTGCTTGCCCTGTTAGAGATGCCGAGATCGAAGGAAAAAGTGGAATCCTGAAAGCATGGTACTGCCCGCGTACTTTTTTGAGACGATCCCATACTTCTTTAGCCGTGACAAAACTATTTAAGGATGAAACATACTTTGTCCAAGAAGCCCACTTTGCCCGTTTTCGCGTCCATCGAGCTTGTGCTCTTTTTTTCCTAAACTCAATCAAGTTAAGGAAAGTTGGATATCGCCGAAAAGTTCCCCACGCCTTGTTCTGGCTTTTCCGAGTGGAAGTACATTCCTCATTCCACCAGGGCTTGCACCTCCGGGGAAGATTTCCTGAAGTCTGTGGAATTGAAGCGGAAGCAGCATTTATAATGCATTCTGTAACGTAAAGCGTCGCATCCTCGGGAGTCATATGAAGAAACAAGGAGGGATCAAGTGCTGCTTCTAAACCAAAAATAGACCAGTCGGCCTTTTCCAACTTCCATCGCGGGAGTCGAGTTGGTATCGATGAAATTGGTAAAACGCTCTCTAAAATTATGGGTAGATGGTCGCTGCCAAAAGGGTTGTCTAAAACGTTCCATGAAAAGCATGAAAGTAGAGATGGTGATGATAGTGATAGGTCGATTGATGTAAAAGTGTTGTGGGCAGCACTAAAAAATGTAGGTTTTTTCTTATTCAGTAAGCAGATTCCAGTTGATAATAAAAGTCGTTCAACAGCTCCACCTCGGGAGTCCTGACGAGAGCTTCCCCACAAAGGATGGTGGGCATTAAAATCACCAAGGATTAAAAAAGGTTTGGGGAGTTGGTTGATGAGTGCTTGGAGTTTGTGAAGATGAAGCGGAACATTAGGTGGCAAGTAGAGTGACATTAGAGTGATGAGGCGGTCAAGAAGGATGCGAACTGCAACTGCCTCAAGTGAAGTTTGTAATGGAACTTTGGCACAAGCCACTCCACTCTGAACCACCACTGCTACACCACCCGAAGGGCTTGAGGAATGGCGGTCCTTTCTAAAAACTTGATGATGACGCAAAACCTTTGTGTGCGAGTCAGTTAGGTAAGTCTCCTGTAGGCAAATAGCAACAGGGCGGAGCTCATCAAAAAATAAATTGATGTCATCTATGTTACGTAGAAAGCCGCGACAGTTCCACTGCATAATCCCTATATTTTTAACCATTTAAAACACAATAGGTATAACATAAAAATTATATTAAAAAGCTATGTTCCTTAGGGTTTAAAATCTATTTTCACACGCGGTGCACTTTGTTTTTTAGAGGGGTTCTGCTTCCGATTAGAGTCACCGGAGGCAGAAGGGGTGGACTCTGATCTTGAGAGGAGAGCCTCCTCATCGGATCTCGACCCACCCTCGTCCATGGGCTCGTCTGCAGCTGCCGGCAGCTGGACCCTGGAGGTCGACTGCCTTGGCACCTCCCCAGGCTTCCTCTGGGGAGCAGAGGTGTGGGGAGGTAGGCCCCGGCCTCGAGAGGTCGAAGCGGCCGGTTGAGCAGGAGACGTCGTCCCCTGTTCTGGGGTGGATGCTGGCAAGGCAGCATTCACCTTGTGGTTCGGGGGCGGTGCCCCTGGCACCGCTCCCGGGGGTTTGGAGGGGGACCGTGATGGGAGATGCAGGTCGTCCGGAGACGTCTGCGTTCCCATCGAAACCATTGGCCGCGCTGGTCCCCTGCGCACGGCCTCGGCATAAGAGCCTTTTGAGACAAAGGCAAAACGCTTCTTTGCCTCCACGTAGCTGATGTTTTCAGTAACTTTTAGTTTAAGGACTTCTTTCTCATCTTTCCACATAGGACATGATCGGGAGTATGCCGGGTGGTTGCCATTGCAGTTTGCACAATGAGGCTCATTATCGCACGCATCTGTGGTGTGCTCCTTGCTGGAGCACTTTGCACAGGTGTCCCTTCCTCGACAGTTCCTCGAGCCATGGCCGAACCGCTGGCACTTAAAGCACCGCTGAGGGTTCGGTACATAGGGTCGGACTCGGCACTGGAGGTATCCTGCCTTTATGGTCTCTGGTAGTGTGGTAGAATCGAATGTCAAGATAATATGTCTTGTTTTTCGTTCGACACCATCTCGGCGGAGGGTGATGCGGCGTGCACCTACAACCCCTTGGCTGGCGAGGCCCTCAACGAGCTCTTCCTCAGATGTTTCGAGCAAGTCGTTCTCAGAGATGACTCCCTGAATGGTGTTCAGCTTGCGGTGTGGAGTCACGCTAACCTTGTAATCTGAAACGGAGTTCAAGGCGAGAAGAGCGTCACTTTGTTGTTTTGTGTTTATCTCGACCAGAAGGTCGCCCGAAGCCATCTTTTTGGCATTGAAGTTCGTACCAATGACACCTTCAAGGACTTTAGAAACAAGGAAGGGAGAAAGCTTGGCAAGTGGCTTTTCCGCCTCAGAATGGAGGACAAGAAACTTCGGAAATTTAAAAAGCTGAGGGGACTTTGCGGGATGGTAAAGGACTTCGGTGCGGGCCCTTTTCAGGGCCCGATCAGGTTTTTGGTTGTGTTTGGAACCCATAATAAATGGGGAGGCGTTCGGCGTCTGTAGCGCACCACCCACCACGGAGCCCAACATGGGGATAGGTAATGCGCCATAGCAATAAAGGTTTTGCTGACGACATTACGCTATCAGTGCTACCAAGACACTATAACCTAGTGCGGGTCAAGACAAGGGGTCTATCGCCACCCAAGGTTAGCCCTTGCCGCCAAAGATGGTGAATATGAAAGAAAGAAGAGCAGAGAAAAGAGAAAGATAAGAGGGGATAGTAGAAGATGTGGCGACTGACTGAATCATCCTGGTCGGGCCAAGCCAGGACACCCGTCTACAGGAAGCAGGGGCCAAAGTGGTGTGTTGCCTCGCCCGGGGGGCCCCGAAGGGTCCAAACCTACCCCGGGCTCAGCTCAACCACCAGGATGCCCTTTTCCCTGGACACGGGCTCGCCACGCACAGCCAGACGTGGGTGGGTCTTAGCCACTTTTTACTCAGGGTCTGTGGTGTCGCCAAAGTGGCTGGGGTCCGTGGTGACGCTACTCACCAAGCACCTAGCACCTAAGGTGCAGGCGCCCCCTGCGGAGCTCGGGGTCCGTGGAGACGCCACTCTCCAAACACCTGCTTTCACAGGTGCCCCCTGCGGGGATGTTGAAAGTTGAGGCCTTGAATCGTACCAGGTTGAGTTTGCTGTTCTTGTTGTGGGGGATTGAGGTCTGGTGTGGGCTCCGCAGGAACATCTGAAACGAATATTGAAATAAGTGAGATAGCATTGGGAATTATTTACGTTCACAAAGTAGCTATAAATATCAGAAGTTTGTTTGTGGTGGGTCCACCCTGCTGTGCATATCCTTTGCAGCAGGTGCTGCTGTGAAAATGGCCCTGCCTCCTCTTGGGTCGCAGGTCACATGCGAAAGACATTGAGTGCAATTTTTTATCAGTGTTGTCCATTTTCCTATCAATAAAAGAGTGATAACACAGAAAAATAACAACTGGTGGTAACAGTCGGTGACAGGATAACAATGCGGTAGAATCTCCGCCTCCAGCACACACATGTTGTCACCAGTCACACTTTGGCTGCACATGAATCTTTGTGTCATCAAGGGTGGCAAGTCTGCGCTTAAAGCAGAGCTCCTACTGCATTAGTGGTGTACAGTCTTACAGACTGTACGGCACTGGGATTTATTTTCCATTAAAAATAATATATGACCACGAGGTGCTCCAGTCCACCCATTCGACAATTCCACCATGTTTAAAAATGTAAATGATGTCATTAGTCCCCCTTATCTGCCAGACTGCAGAAGTGTTTCTTTTGCTGCTGCGTGCTGGAGCAGGAGAAAGACCAAATCCTGGCCAAAGCTCCAATCGTTACTTGAAATTTGGCCTTGGCATGTACAGTAGGTAGGCTATAATCATGCAGTCCAAAATTATTAATTTGTAGTCATAATGCCCTTAAATAAATGCAAGTCAGCACTAATTCCCAGTTATTCTTATTGCAATTTGCTTCTCACCAGCTTGCAGTAGTGGCTTTTCTTGTGCAGTAGAGTTTTCTGTAGTTTGCACACAAACATCTGAAATTAATATTGGATTGAGGAAGACTATTTGGTGCCTGAAGCGCAGAAAAAAAGTGTGAGAAAAATCTGTAATTCATTGCTTACATTTGGCTGGTTCCTTTTCCTTGGTTTCTTCGTGGAATGTCCACGTATCACCTGGGACTGCAGCTGCACCTGTGAAAATTATTGAGCAATGTCTGACACATATTGTATGATACAAGATTACATATTACAATATAATCGAGCATTGATTGCCAATTCATCAAACTAAGTTGCTTCTCAGCAGAGCAGGGACGCTTTTCTTCACCTGCGTGGAAAGATTGCGTTGATGATTGTGCAGGAACATCTGGAATAAATATTGGAATGAGAAACAACATTTGTGACTTCCATAAGCATATAGAGGAAATTATAAATATTAGAAGCGTGTTTATGATAGTGTCTTTCTGCTATGCATCTTCCTCACAGCTGGCGCAGTAGTGAAGATGGCCCTGTCTCTTGTGAGTTGCAGGAGCATATGTGAATTATATCGAGTAGAATGTTTGATCAATAGTTCACAACTCACAATCACCTCATGAAACAAAATTGAGCAACCATCGCCAATTAAGGGTAATAAATTTCTTTTTTACCAGGCAGGGGCCGGAGCTCTTCCTGTGCATAAGAGTCAGTCAGAGCCTGATCAGGAACACCTGCAGTAGATATTAGGATAAGCAGAACAGTTTGTGATTTCTATTCGCACAAAAAGCAAATTAAAAGTCACTTTAAGCCATCCTTACATGTGGTGGGATCTTCCAGCCCTTGGTCTTTGCTGTGTGATGGTCCTGGCTCAACTGGGGCTGCAGGTGGATCTGTAATAAATAATGTAAGCAATGTTTAATAAATATATTAATATATGAACTGCCCACTAATTACACTTTAGCAACGATGGCCAATTAATTAAAAAGTTAGACTGAATATTCCACACCTTCCTACATTAAGAGTATGCAAACAAAAGATTCGATAATATTTGCAACGAGATGCAGCTACTATTAACAATGCATTTTACTTACCTAAAGTGGAGGCGGTGGACGCACCAGTTAGGCGAATGCCAGGAGCGAGGAACTCTAAAATAAATAGAAAGTAGGATTACAGCTTGTAAATTTTAGCGGTCCTTATAATTATCATTTGGCGCAATATCGGGCCGTTAATGCTGCCTACTCTCATGTGGGCGTCGCAAGCCTTTAAGCGTATTGCAGATACCTCCTCAGTTACGCTGTGATAGTCTCAGCTTTGTGCAGCAATGCATCATATTATGCCTCTATTACGGCTATTTTGGCCAACTAGGGGCTCATATCTCAAAAAGGTATGTGATATCGCACGTAATTTTAAATGGAAGAAAATTGCTCTTATACCTAAGCTACCTATACAAACACTAATTAAACATTTTGAAACCGGCTCACCTGGAGAGACGAGGGTCTTCAATAATGGATTTGTCACTAGGACAGATGGGCACACATTATCTTGGAGTCGTGTCCTCCTTGAACTTCTGAAGGCAGAAGCGGCGAAATGTTCGCCGCAGAGACAACGCTCGCGGAGTTTGCTCAGAGGCAACAACTTGAATTCTGGGCGATTTGAGTAGTATATCCATTTACTGGCTCTATTTGAAAAAGAAAATAGAAAAGAAGAAAAGTAGCGCGCATAAGTTAACGCTTTCACCTCTTTCAGTATCGCGTGTACGAAGTTTCTAGTCTCACCTGTCGTCCGTTGCAAAACGGAAAAAACTGCAGTCAGCGGTTTTCGTCGTGTTCCGGCACCACTATGCTGTACAGTAGTGTCCATACACAGCAGCCATCCCGCCGAACTGGTTGAAAGAAACATCTAACACGCAGACGCGCACCGCCAAAGGTCTCGGTTGCGCTCGAGCGTTTCGGTTTCGCGCACGTCGCACACCGCTCGCCCACATGCGCTCCGGAAGATCAAACAAAAATAACGGTCAATAACGGATCTCTCCCTGAACGCTCATGATTGGCTGAAAGTGCGCAGGCCGATATTATATGGTGGTGAAGATAACTTACCCGACACGACGCTCAAAACTGCAGCGGTAAGACTGAGAACCACGTCTGGGTTGGAACGAATGAATGGATCTACGAAGAATTATGAATAGACGTACGAAAGCTTCTTGTGGCGCCACACTTTAGCCACCCGCGGAACCTCAGAGCTGCATCCGGCTGGCCATACAACAAATTTATAGACTGTTATTTAACAAAAACCCAACAGCACAGAGGTTTAAATGAGATCAAAAGGAGTACAGTATGTATGATCATCTGGTCTATGCACATTACTAATTACGGCAAGAAAAATAAAGAGGAGGCAGCTTTTCATAGAATATTCCTAAAAGATGAGAATTCAGGAGATTCTGAAGGTCAATATGCAATTATGCCTTCAGTTTACACTTCAAGAAAGTTGCCTTCACAAATACTATGAAGCACCATTTCACTTTCACAGAATGTGGCATACATGAGCAAAGCACATGCCTGATGTCCTGTACAAAGGACCATGAAAATATATGGGACTTTAACTATTTAACATTTAGAACAAACTTTTATACATAGAAAAAGTATTTACAGGGCTTATATTTAAATTTCTGAGCAAGTTGTTTTTTTCAGAAGTAGCAAAACAAAAAAAAATGTTAACACAGCCAATAACTACCTAAAACTGAAAAGGATTGTCCAAATATCAACCAGCTCCCTTTTTATAACCACTTATACAATCGCCGAGCCTTAATGGATATACCATTTTTTTTACACTTCAGCTAGACATGATATTTAGCAAACATTTCCAGCACAGTACAGCACTCAGAAAAAGGGATGCATGTTAACATTACTAGCACATGACATATCTACCATTGGTAACAATATAAAAGGGAACAGCCTTCCACATATTTTTGACACACCTACAAATTTTGCAACAAGTTCCGGTCCAAAATATGTGTTCATGTACAGTCGCCGACCCTTTTTTCGGACTCAATAACTCGAACTTGTTCAATATTTCGGACCTAACGGAGGAACCGTGACTTGCCCCTAGAAATAGAAATAGCTTTCATACAGCTTGAAGTCCAAAAGTTCAATTATTCGGACAAAATCATTGCGAGCAATGAGCGGGAAACACCATCGAGAAGCGGCCATTTTGAATTCTCTGCTGGCTGCAAATGAATTGGCTTCGTTTGGCAGCATTACTTGGGCACTCCCGAGTTCTACCGCTAGGTGACGCTATGCTAGCCCTTTCATTCCATTTAGCTGCACGTCATCATCATCATCATTAAAATTTTGCCTTGTTTCCTTCTATCACTTCGCGACTCCGCCCCACTACACTGGCTTAAAGGGAAAAGAAACAGTGTGGTTACCGCATAGCCTCCACCATGGATCGGGAACGGCCACTCCTTGGAAGACGGTGCAGGTGGCGCTTCGATCTGCAGCTCCGTTAGGGTGCCTGCATCGACTGGCAGATAGAGGCCCCCTAACATGCTTTGTAACTAATATAAATACCTCAAAAGCAATTATTTGTTTCCAGTGAACTTCCAAGGAAATTATTTGTGTTTAACGGCGAATAAAAATGTAAAACTAGCAGACGACAGTTTAGTTGACAGCTGCGAATCGGCCAGAGCCAAGCTGGCTAAGCGGCCAAGCCGGAGCCATAGCCGGAACGACGGTGCTGCAAGAGCCAGTGCCACCCGCGGCCGTCTTCCAACGGTGTGCCGCTTCTCCGGTTTCGTTCGTTACACTCCCCTCTAAGCCACTGTAGCTCCACTTTCGAGTCACCAGTTGCCATTTTGCGCTCGTGGATTTGCGGCTCTTCTCGTTATGACAATGCTGGCTTGGACGTCATGACCCCATCTGTTCTTCTGCCGCCACGATGTGTCGTTAAAAAGCGCAGAAAGTACTTGACCATAACGCTAGAAAAGAAGGCAGCGATTCTCAAGCTAACAGAAAGTTGCCGAACGCAAACGGAGGCGTAACTGAAGCAAGGCACTATTTATGGCTTTTTTTTTAAGGCCATTTTTTTTAATCTGTAATAAAGGCAATTTTTTTCAATCTGCTGATTTTTCGGACTGCTTTATTATTCGGACGATTTTTCGGTCCCTGCGAAGTCCGAATAATCGGTCGGAGACTGTACACAACCTTCAATGTCTAAGACCAGCCATGGTGGCCACACAACTGAGCGAACACAACCCTATTTAACACTTCCAAATGCATGCACGGGCGTGCAGCTTCAGTGAGCAGGTGGAACTGCTTAGAGCCAGTCTTTCGTGCAAACTTAAGGTAGTCAACATTGGGAAAGTTGTCAATGTCGTACACATGCGAGAGGATATACACCGCTTGTGTCCCATCAGGCTTCCAAATACATAGTACATGCTCAACTTTTGTATAGTTGTCTCCAATTTTAACAGCTGTTGAATCCCGTTTCAGAGGGCTTTTGTACTGCTCACTGTGGATTGTGCATCCATAGATGCGTACACGGCTGAACTCCTCAACATTGTGCACAGCTCCCAGGTTGTGTTGCAGCAGGTCCGAGACATCCTGCGGTGCTGCCTTAGCTTTCCCGAGAAGATTCACTGCACCATCTCTTTTTTTAGGCATTTGTGAGCAAAGTTCCTGCACTTCCTCCGAAGCCATACACTGTAGTTGGCGAAAGCTACTTTGAAGAAAAATGCGAGACAGGATCTGGTATGGGACACCTTTTGCTGAAGAAACAAGTTTGAGCAGCTGTCCCATATTGCTCTCGAAAAGCACGAGAGTGCCCAAAGTGGCCCGTGAAGAAAAACACTTTTAGGTCGTTCACCATGCCGACCGTCATTGGGTACTTGACAGAGCCTTCAACACAAAGTCCAGGATGAAGGCGCCAGCCGCAGCCGTAATACCCATTATATTGGAGCATGTTTTGTATCGAAGCCCTGGCTGGGGCATCGGCAACGCTTGTGATGCAGTAGACCTATGTTTGAAAGACCAAGGACGAGACCTTTATGGTTTCTTAAGGAATTCAACTAAATGGATGTCCCAAAGATAGATAATACAAAAAGAAACAGATAATAGAGTCCTATTAACCTTGGCTAGGTAGTGACACTTAAAATGTACCAGCCTTCACTTGAATTTTGCAAGCATACCTTGTGTACTATATACTGTGGACGACTTAAACCCGGGGTGTGCAACAATTTCCGGACTTTGATTACCGTAGAATACCGTGCATCCGCCCATACTACATTAAGCGCCCATTCCCACATTTGTAAAATCTGAAAAAATTTGCACAGTACATTGGTATGTAGAACTGATGACCGGACAAGCGCCCATCCCCCATTTTTTCATGATTATCTCAAAATTTTGAGTGGGCGCTTGCCCGGTATTTTACGGTAATTGTGGGAATTGATTCCAGTCACCTTATAGACCAGTGTCCGCGCCAATTCCAGGGCGCCGCCATGTTTATCTACGCTCGCGCCACCACGCGGAGAGAACTGGCAGGCAGGAGGGGGGGGCTGCGTTGCTTTGAGGAGCTGGATGCGGCAGGCTGTCCGAATGCACCGGCACATCGTGAAAGATGTCTTCACCAGAAGCCTCCGCGGCCCGTTCTTCAACAGATAAGATGTCGTGAACATTCGAGAACCCATCTCGATCAAGAAAACAAGAGAAAACCTTTCTTGTCTTAAATGTTATCGGTGTCTGTTGTTGGCTTCCTGTATACGACATTACATTCGTGGCACGTTTGAGACCGATTTTCACGATCTGCTTGCCTTTCTGCGGCAGCGCGGCTCTACCGAGCCGAAATAAGTGGGAGGCGTTCACTTGATCGAACGCCGTTTTAGCGAATGAAAACGAGACCACGACGTTTCATCGAAGGACTAGCGAATGGGTCTAGTTACATAGACAGCTCGGATTAGCTTTCTTTTGTAATGTGGCGCCTTGTCTGCCGCTGCGAAGCGGCGTAAACGAGGGCTCCGAGTATGTTAGAATGCGTCCCCCCCCCCCCCCCACACACACACACACACACACACACACAAACACACACTGCGAGCGTCTGGGTTCGAAACTATTAATTGCCAGTTCTAAAGGATGGTACTTACTTGAAGTGGGAGCTGGAATTCTACGAGGTACCAGGAGACACTATCGGGCAACGAAGCACGGTGCCTGTGGGGGCGGAGTCTAGGAACGCTACTGATTAATATTGTGAAAGGCGATCAGTTATGATAGCAGACGAAACTTCGACTCGTTTGTTCAGAAGTTTGCGGTGATATTTTATTAGCCCTCGTTACAGCACACCAAGGATCTTAGGCAGTGAAATTCACATCACGCAGGCTCGTCCGTCGTAGTCAAATGAGCGCGGTCGACGATGAGGTGTAATGAGCTACTAAGCTTCACAAGGAAAATGCGCGTGAGAAAGAGTTTTGAGGAAGTCCAAAACACCGATCCAGCAGACGCACGTATGTACGTTTACTCCGGACTTCATGAACCCGACGGCGCAAGATCAAAGAGCACCGCCGCCATCGCCACCCGGTTTTTTCTGCACTTTGCGCGACGACGGCACTGCAACGGAGGGCACTCGCCTCGGCGTTAACAATCCGCGAAATAGATTAATTTCCCACTCTTGAAGCCATTCCAAATGATAAATGAAAATACCTCGGCGTTGTTGAACATCTGACGACACAACCAACACAACAGTGCCACTGGCTGCGTGAGCCTGACAACGGTGCCGAGCGCCTGCTCGGCACCGTTGTTGCTCGTGAAGGCCTGCTTATTTGTAGTTGAGACGATGATTCCACATATTTCGTGGTGCTTGCAATAACTTCGAAGGGCAGGGGAACCTTCTCACGAGGACGTTGAAGACACTCAACACCGGAGCCACCAAAGCAATCGCACAAATCGTCGCCATGTTTCCTTCTTCGTCACTCGCGGCGCGGTCAACTCGTCGCGAGATGTTTTCTGGCTCGGCTAGATGGAAACCAACAGCGGCAAAGTGGCGTATGGACACACGGCTCTCACAATACGGACACTATACTCACATACCGCGGTAAACAGGACCGATGTCGGCGATACGGCAGTCGGCACACCAGCGAAGAAGCCCTCAACGGGAAGCGGCGGCGCAGGCCGACGCAGCCCCCCCCCTCCCCGTGAGCGTCTGGGTTCGAGATTATTGTTCGCTTTTGCTCCTTGCGGTCGAGGCTATAAAGAGCACTTCCGGACAAAGGTCTATAATGAACAGAAAATCATTCTTCCATGCGTGCCCTAGTTGTTATTTTAAAAAAATGAAAGAAATCGAGATTTCTCGTTTCATTCAACTCAACATTCACTGAACACCATCTTAAGGCCCGTTCACACTCTTGCGACCTCTTAAACCTGGGTTCCTTAAAACTTCTTAAACCAGAGAACACACTGGCGCCATCTATTGGGAAGCAGTGTAAACTCGGCGGTCCGGCATATTTTTTTTTAATTTCTCGCGCATTATCCTTTTTTTCTTGACTCGAAAAACTTTTGTCAATGTTATAAACGAGCCTTTCTATGGGTATTACGCACATTTGACCTCGGAAATCCCGCAAAACCTTTGCTCTTGTGAAATGTAGTTCCAGGGTCACCGCATAGATGGCGCCACAATGTCAGTGTGTTCCCTCATTCTAAAAGCATTTAAGAAGTTTTAAGAGATCTCGTCTCTCTCAGTCGTACTCGGTCGCAAGAGTGTGAACGGGCCTTTAAAGACACTTGCATGCAATGCCATTCAGAGTGGCACCCTGTTTCCGGTTGGGTTCTGTCTGAACAAATTCAGGTGGCCACTGACTTGGAGGGCAAAGAGGGAATGGTTTTGTTTACATCGGTATATGGCGCCACATATATTTAATGAACTTTAGTCACAAATGTTAGGCTTTTGAGACATTTATTTGCCCACGCCTAAACGACAATATTTTTAAAACTTAACCTTATAAGTACAAAATTGCTTAACTCGCTCACTTACAGAAGCCCACATCGAATGATGTCACGCCGCCGATTCCGTGACTGCCACATGTGGCCCCAGGTCGGGAAATAATGCACTTTTTCTTTGCAATTATGCAGCAGAATAGAAATACTTCAAATTGGCATGTTTTCCCTAATTAGGGCCAAGTTGGCCCAAATTAAATAAAAATACACCCTGTAAATTCTATCAACGTTAAAATCTTACCGCCCCTTTAGTTTCAAAGCGCTTATTTAGCACATTGAATATATTCACAAACAATTGGTCCTTCAAATACTGCACACAACTTAATTTTCGCGAAAACCTAATTTTTGTGAATTTCGTGAATCGCCTACAATTCGCGAAAAATAGGCCCCACAAACAGTTCCGGTAACACGTAAACACGTTGGAATGTATATTAAGATCCTACCGAGTCGCGAAAATTAAAATCCGCGAATTATTGCAAAACTTCAGCTTTGACCTAAATCGCGAAATATTAAGTTCGCAAATATAATTCGTTTACAGTAATTCATGTCGTGGTAGTGAATTCGTAGCATTTACTACCGCAACATGGTAGTGAATGCTCCGAAACGCGAAAATTTGTGCCTGAAAAATATTCTTGCAATCAGCACTTTGGGAGTTTTCCAAAACATTGAGCTTGTGAAAATGGTCGTTTACAGTACCTACTGCTAAACAAGCCACATGATGGCAAGGAGGCAAACATGCCAGCTACAACAGTTACAAGAGCAAGAATCATACATGCGTCTACAAAACATGTTTTCGAAAATAATAAAAATGTAAAAGCTGTTGGTAGTAAAGATCACTCATACAAAACAATGTGGCTAAGGTTTACCTTTGAATGGAGCTCCTGACCGCCTGCATTCCATGTAATCCCATCTGCTGAGAGCCTTTTCATTTGTTCAGCAAAAGCCTGAAGCAGCAGAGTCATATTTGGATGTTTCGAGCCATACCAAAGAAGGGACGTCATCATGTTGCTCCAGCGAAGATATGGATTGTTGTTGTTTGCGGTTTTAATGGCGCAAGAGCATCAATGGCCATACTGCGCCAAACAAGGTGAGTCAGTAAAAAAGGGTGAGTAGAATTAAACTATGGGGAGCAGAATAGTTCTAAAGTTTGTTTAAAAATCCGGTATTTTCAAGGAAATCGAAAAGACGTTTGAATGAGATTAGTGGCCGCTCACCAAGCAGCAAGGCAGGGTGGAATGGAATGTGATACTTGAAAAGATCAGGAAAAAAGAATTTATGCTGCTGCCGAAGACCAGGACAAAGAAATAAAATATGAAGAACAGTCAGAGGTTCACCGCAGCGCTCACAGGCTGGAGGTTCTTCACTAGTAAGCAGGTAGCTATGGGTGACGTAGGTGTGGCCGATTCTCAGGCGGCATATGAGGACCTCGTGGAATCTATTTTTATTGTAAGATGTTTCCCAGGTACCAAGGTCTGGCTTGATGGTGTGAAGCTTATTGTTAACCTCTATATCCCACTCAGACTGCCACGATTGCAAGACTGCAAGTCTTATAGGCATTTTTAAGTCTTGGTGGGGGATGCGGACATGTGACACGGGAAGATTTTGCGAAGAGACGGCCAGTGTATCTGCAGCCTCGTTGCCTGCAATGCCCACATGGCTAGGAATCCAGCAAAACCTAATGTCGTGACCATCCTGTAGGCCCTGCTGTACCTTAACACGCACAGTCCGGGTCAGCCGATTCTTTGTTAATAAAACAGAACATACAGCCCGAACAACACTCTGAGAATCTACAAAGATGATGGCTTTCTTTATTTTACTCTGAACTATATGGTCAAGCGCCATCATGACCCCATACAGCTCGGCAGTAAAAATACTGGCAAGAGTATTTAGACGAGCGACTTTGGAAAAACGAGAAGAGTATACAGCCGCACCAACATACATTGACGACTTTGCACCATCAGTGTAATAATGATTATAATCTTTGTATTTTTCCTCCAATGCAAAGAATTCCTGTTGTAAAATTAAAGGTGAGACACTTTGCTTCCTGAATTTTGTGAAGCACCAGTCACAAAAAATGGGTTTGACATTCCATGGGGCAGTATGGTATAAACTATTCAAGAGGTTAAAATCAAGAGTCAGATTGAGGGAGGAGCGAAGACTCTCGACACGAAAGCTCAAGGGCCGCACAACAGTTGGCTTATGGTTAAAGAGGCGAGAAAACCTAGAGTTTTGAATACAACTATAAGTGGGGGAGCTGGGGTCCGACAAAATTTTGTAAACATAGTTGAGGCTAAGTAGCTGTCGCCTTTTTTCAAGTGACATTTCATGACAGTCAACATACAAGCTAAGCACAGGGGAGGTGCGAAAAGCACCAGATGCCAAACGCAGCCCAAGGTGATGTACTGGATCGAGCATTTTTAAAGCAGACGGTCTCGCAGAGGCATAGACAATTGAGCCATAGTCAAGGCGGGATCGAATGAGCGAGGAATATAGACGAAGGAGACATTTCCTATCCGAGCCCCACGACTTGTGCGAAAGAACTTTGAGTATGTTCGATGCCTGCAGAGTTTTTTGCTTGAGTTGTTTGAGGTGCGAAACAAAGGTAAGTTTACGGTCGAAAGTAACTCCTAGAAACTTGTGCTCCGTTTTGACAGCAATGTTGTTTCTATTTAACAGAAGTGTAGGATCTAAACAGAGGCCACGCCTTAAAGAAAAAGGAACACAAACAGTTTTATCCGGAGAGAACCTAAAACCATTCTCATCAGCCCATGTAGACATTTTATTTATGGCCAGTTGTAGCTGCCGCTCACAGCTAGACATATTACATGACGCTACAGATATCTGAATGTCATCGACATATAGCGAGTAAGATACTGAAGGAGGAATGACTTTGCTAAGAGAGTTAATTTTTATTGCAAAAAGTGTGGCACTAAGGACTCCACCCTGAGGAACACCATTCTCTTGAACAAACCAGTCTGAGAAAGTTGTTCCCAACCGAACTCGAAAAGTGCATTTACACAAAAAGCTCTTTATACACTGAAGCATTCTACCGCATATTCCGTACATAAAAAGGTCGTGCAAGATGCCATACTTCCAAGTGGTGTCATAGGCCTTGTCTAAATCAAAGAAAACAGATACACAATGCCGCCTGTTGACAAATGCCTCGCGCACAAGGGTCTCCAGCCGCACCAAGTGGTCTGTTGTAGAGCGCTCAGGACGACAGCCACACTGATTAATATCCAAGATTTTATGTTGCTCAAGAAAATAAATAAGACGTCTGTTAATTAATCTTTCAAAGGTTTTCCCCAGACAACTTGACAATGCTATTGGTCTGTAACTTGCAGGAAGGGAGGGGTCCTTGCCAGGTTTCAACAGCGGTATAACTTCAGCCCGCTTCCATTCAACAGGGAAGTAGGCATCACACCACAGGCCATTGAAGTATGTGAGAAGGGCACTAAGTGACTCTCTAGATAAGTGCCGGATCATGTCATAGTGAATTCTATCGGGACCGGGGGCAGAATTCTTGCGGGAGTTGAGAGCCACTTCGAGCTCAACCATTGTAAATGGCTGATTGTAAGGTGCAGACGCTCCCCCTGTGAAGCAGAGCCTCGTCTTTTCCATGTTTGCCTTACGCTTCAGGAATGCTGGAGAGTAATGTGCGGAGCTTGAAACAGCAGCGAAGTGAGTGCCCAACACGTTAGCCTGGTCTAGCAATGAGGCTCCAGAAGACGGAAAAAGGGGGATTGTAAAACAGCGGTATTTCTTTTCGACCTTGTGCAGTCGGTCCCACACTTCCTTTGCTGGAACATAGCTGCTGATGGAGGACAAGTAACCTCGCCAGGATTTTCCTTTAGCCTGCTTCCGAGTCCAGCGGGCACAAGCTCTGCGCCTCTTGAATTCCATTAAGTTCACAGATGTCGGGTATCTACGAAAGACACCCCAAGCCTTATCTTGGTTATTCTTTGTGGTGGAACATTCCTCATTCCACCATGGCTTACATTTCGTGGGGATGTTCGAAGAAGTTTGAGGGATGGAGCAAAGAGCAGCACCAATTATGTGCTCTGTGATTTAGGCTGTGGCATCGTCATGAGTTAATGAAGAGAACATTGAGGGAACAAGCTTGGATTTTTGGCTAAAAAGAGCCCAGTCTGCTTTTTCTAGCTTCCAACGTGGAGCCCGTTTCATAAGACTGGGAATCGATTTCACGCTTTCCAGAGCAACCGGAAAGTGGTCGCTTCCAAAAGGATTATTTAAAACGCTCCATGTGAAACAAGACACCAAGGATGGAGATGAAATGGAAAGATCAATGGATGTAAATGAGTTGTGAGCTGCGCTAAAAAAGGTAGGCTCTTTGCTGTTCAAAAGACAGAGACTAGATGACAGTAAAAACCGTTCAATGACCCCACCACGCGAGTCCTGGCGTGTGCCACCCCACAAGGGATGGTGGGCATTAAAATCTCCTAGAAGTAAAAAGGGGTGAGGGAGCTGAGTAATTAAATCATGAAGATCATGAATATGCAGTGGAACATTTGGTGGAATATAGATGGAAACAATGGTGATGAAGCGGTCCAAGAGGAGACGCACAGCTACAGCCTCTAAAGGTGTAGAAAGAGGAATCTGAGAACAAGCAACTCCACTTTGGACGATTACTGCTACTCCACCAGATGAGTTTGATGTGGAACGATCTTTTCTAAAAACTTGGTGACGACGTAAAATAGACACATGATGATCATTAAGGTGCGTCTCTTGTAAAGAGAGAGCTATAGGACGGAGGTTGTCCATAAAAAAGTTAACATCGTCAATATTCCTTAAAAGGCCGCGGCAATTCCACTGCATAAAAGTAAATTTAGCCATTATTCTAAAACTAAGTTAAAAATTAGTAAATCAGTAAAAGTAGTAAGGTACAAGTAAAAGTAAAAATGTCAACTCTGCCGCGCAGGGCAATAAAGAATGTACAACATCACGTTGGTGGGATCACCGGTTTTTTGCTCTTGTGCTTACTCTTAGTAGTCTGCCACTCCATGTCGTCTTGGTCAGACGCAGGAGTGGAGACTTCACACTCATCCATGGCCTCAGTTTCCTGAGGCAAGCCTTTTTCTGCAGGTTTCTTCGGGTTCGGGGAACGGGGCGCCATGCGCCGCCCGCGACCAAACCCAGCCAAAGGGGCAGAGGAGGTGCTGGGCGAAGCGTCGCCCAAGTCCACCCGTTCCTGTCCCTTAGGCGCTGTAGGTGCGGCACGAGAGCCATGCCGCTCCCTCGATGATGCTCTCTCCAGGGAGTGTGGGCGAGAGTGTCGACCCTTCTCCCTGGAAGGAGACCGCAGAGGAGGGACGGTTGCGGCAGCCACCGACCCATCCTGGGTTTGGGAAACAGCCCGAGAAGATACAGGCTGTTGCCCTGTTGGAGTGCGAGGGTTCGCACTCTGGCTGGGAGGGTCCGAAGACCGTCCAGCCGAGATTGCATGCCCCGGAAGCTGAATCTTCAGCTGGGGCGTGGGGGACTGCCGTGGCTTCCCATAGTCCAGAAAGGACGTCTGGGTTGCCACTGCAACCTTCAGTGGTGCAGGTCCCCGCTGCACCACCTGCGCATAGCCACCTTTGCGCAAGAACGCAAAGCGACGGCGCGCTTCCGGGTAAGAGAGGTTTTCTTTGACCTTCAAGTTAAGCACTTCTTTCTCTTCTTTCCATATCTTGCATGAGCGAGAATACGCTGGGTGGGGATCACTACAGTTGACACAATGGGCTTCGTTGGAGCAGGAGTCAGCAGAATGGTCATTTTTCCCACACTTGGCACAAGTGGCCTTACCACGGCAGCTCTGAGAGCCGTGGCCAAACCTCTGGCATTTAAAACATCTTCGAGGATTAGGCACATAGGGCCTAACCCTGCAGTGGAGGTAGCCAGCCCTAACAGCCTCGGGAAGTGTGGTAGATTCAAAGGTTAACACTATGTGTTTAGTTTTTCGCTCTTGACCGTCCCGACGCATGGAGATGCGCCTCGCAGCTACAACTCCTTGTTCAGAGAGCCCTTCAAGTATCTCAGTGTCAGAGGCCTCAATCAGGTCATCTTCGGAGATAACGCCCTGAATAGTATTAAGTGTACGATGGGGTGAAACAGTCACTTTATGATCAGACACAGAATCCAAAGCAAGGAGTGCTGTACTCTGCTGTCTGGATTCAATTTCTACGAGAAGGTCACCTGAGGGCATCTTTTTGGCTTTGAAGTTCTTTCCGACCACACTTTCTAGCACTTTCGCAACAAGAAAGGGGGACATCTTGGAGAGTGGTGTATCGTCTTCAGAGTGAATAACCAAAAATTTGGGGAATCTAGGGGGAGATGAGGTCGTTTCTTTCAGAGGGACTTCGGTGCGGACCCTTTTCAGGGCCCGATCAGAGGGAGGTTTAGCTTTGGAACCCATGAGAGATGGGAGGAGATTCAGTGCCCGGGTGCACCGCCCACCACGGAGCCCAACAAGGAGGTAGGTAATGTGCCATAGCAAGAAAGGCTTGGCTGACACAATTACTCTACCAGTGCTGCCCGGGCACTATAACCGAGTGTGGATGCAGGGACAGGACCTATTTCCACTCAAGGTTAGCCCTTGCCGCCTAAGAAGGTGAAAAAGGAAGGAAGAGAGTGTAGAAGAAAAGAGAAAGAGGTGGAAGGAAAAGTGAAAGACGGAAGAAGAAGGTAGAAGAGGCGACTGACTGAATCATCCTGGTCGGGCCAAGCCAGGACACCCGTCTACGAGAAGCAGGGGTCGAAGCGGTGTATTGCCTCGCCCGGGGGGCCCCGAAGGGTCCAAACATACCCCGGGCTCAGCTCAACCACCAGGGTCCCCTTTTCCCCGGACACGGGTACGCCACGCACAGCCAGACGTGGGTGGGCGAACCCACATGGCTCGGGGTTCGTAGTGACGCCACTCACCAAGCACCTACCAAAGTAGGTGCCCCCTGCGTGCGGGTATGGTGGCCCACGTAGCTGGGGTCCGTGGTGACGCAACTCACCAAGCACCTAGCACCTCAGGTGCAGGCGCCCCCTGCGGGGCTCGGGGTCCGTGGAGACGCCACTCTCCAAACACCTGCTTTCACAGGTGCCCCCTGCGGGGGAAGATATGGAGGCAGTTCATTAAGCACAACATGCACAGGCCAAATAGAGTAAGTGGATGACTTGAATACAGGGCTCCCGTCTGCACTCATGGTCAGCGTGAGACCTTGGTCTTTACAATGAAGCCTTTGCCGCTGGTCCTTGTAGAAGGCATCATCTGTGATGTCCGACATTCCATTCTGTGGCTCTGTTCTGTGCTCCAGTGACTGAAGCAGCTGGTTTCTCACACAATCATTTGCAAGGATGGAAGCAAACTGCTTTTCAAGGGGCAAGCCACTGTACTTCTTTCCGCAGACTGCGCATGTTGTTGACACGTTGTTGCGCTCTGCAACCTTTCCTGTCGTCTTCACTAGTGGATGCTCGCAGGTAGGGCAATAAAAGTGAAAATGCATGTCTTCAGGCGTCGCTCCAGCAAACTTGCGAAATAGAGACTTGTTGTCTGGAAGGAAGAAGGAACTTAGGTGTTTAACGGCACAGCGGCAACTAAGGCCATAGTGTGCCAAACACAAGGTAAGTTAAAGGCAATACTGAAAAGACCTATAGTAGGTAGTTCCATCTTAAAACTATGGAAAATAAATGATTAAAACCTTACAAGATACAGGCCTATAAAAGCCTCCAGAAATTTTAACCAATGCTCCACTAACCAGAGGCACTCTAAAGGAATTTCATTCACGCAAGGAAGTATGGAAAACATGCCGACGATGCAAGATCGCCGGCTCTCTGCCACCACTAATTTTCAGGTAAACGTAATAGAAAAGAAAACAAACTAAAATTCATAGCCGATGTAGGATGCCAATGCTATTTAAAAACTTAAAAACTTGTTGGTGCGGCACAAGAGGTTCATCACCCAATAATAATGCCGGGTGGAACGGGACGCGATTCCGGAAGAAGGTAGGGAAACAAGTGGTGCGTTCGTGATGGTACTTAGGACATACGATAAGAATATGCAAGATGCTCAAAAACTCGTTACAGTGTTCACATTTCGGAGCTGCCTCTGCCCGTAGGAGGTACCCATGCGTGAGATGGGTGTGTCCCAGTCTCAGACGACAGAGCACAACCTCAAAGAAGTGCTCCCTGTGTCGGCAACTTGCCCATTCCCGCAGGGTAGGTTTCACACAATGAAGCTTGTTGTGTATTTCCGTGTCCCATTCTAACTGCCACATTTTCTGGATTGCTTTTTTAAGACTGTTTGTAATCAGTGTACGGAATGTCCTTGATATCCACTTGCCTCTCAATGCACGTACTGGCAGCTCTATCAGCATCCTCATTTCCTTGAATACCGACGTGACTAGGCAGCCAACAGAAATTGATGTGTAAATCTGATTTTGCTGCAGTGTGCACAATGTTCCGGAGCCTAGTAACGAAGGTATTCTTTGGTACTTCCAAAGAAATAAGTGCCTTTAAAGCGCTGAGAGAATCAGAGTAGATAACAGAATGCTGGATAGCATTTTCTATAATGAATTCAACAGCTAAAATTAAAGCATATAATTCTGCAGTAAATATTGAGGCTCTGGCATCAAGACGCCTAACAACCTTCCATGTCTCGCTTATAACAGCACAACCGACAGCACAGTCACTCTTAGTACCATCTGTGAAGAAACTCCTATAGTCACTGTACGTATAAGCCACCTGGGAAAACTCCTGCTGCAGGGCAGCAACAGGAGTTTGCCGCTTATTATATTTGATCAGAGTAAAATTGATTATAGGTGCTACGCACTCCCAAGGAGCCACTGCCAGTGGAAGTTGGGCAACTAGGCTGAAACTGTCAAGGTTGTAAGCCTGTGAATATGTTTTAATTCTCTGCGTAAAAGGGGGTACGACAGATGGCTTGTTCTGGAATGTAGTTTCATAGCGAGAATCCTGAATTGCTTCCTGGATCGGATGAGAAGGGACAGAGCGAATTCTTAATGCATACTGGAAGCCTAAATAAAACCGTCTTTTTTCAAGTGAATATTCATTACTCTCAGCATATAGGCTAGGAATAGGGGACGTCCGAAAAGCACCAGTGGAAAGCCTCAGACCTTGATGGTGGATTGGGTCCAACACCTGAAGGGTAGATTGACGTGCGGATCCATACACTACACATCCGTAATCGAATTTTGAAAGAACCAAGCAGCGATAGAGACGGAGGAGACATTCCCAATCGCTACCCCAACACTTGTGTGAAAGCACCTTTAGGAGGTTCATTGACCTTGAGCATGTCTGTTTCAGGTAAAGTACATGACTACGGAAATTCAACTTTTTATCAAATATCACTCCTAGGAACTTGTGTTCATTACGAACAGGAATTGCCTGCCCCCTTAAGGTCAGACTAGGCTCTAGGATCATGCCCCTACGTAATGAAAAGTTGACACATACTGACTTCTCTGGTGAAAAACTAAACCCATTGGCATCAGCCCACCTCATCAGACTATTAATTCCCAGCTGAAGTTGTCTCTCGCAGACCGAAATGTTACACGAACAGCAAGAGATCTGCAAGTCATCCACGTAAAGAGAATAGGAAAGTGATTGTGGGATAGACTTTCCAATAGAGTTCATTTTTATTAAAAATAGTGTTACGCTAAGAACACCACCTTGTGGAACTCCATTCTCTTGGACAAAACTACGAGAGAAGGTTGTACCAAGCTTGACATGAAAGTATCTGTCTTCCAAAAAGCTTTTGATGAGTGAGAGCATTCGGCCACGAATTCCGTACGAGACAAGATCGTTCAAAATTCCATACCTCCATGTTGTGTCATAAGCCTTCTCTATGTCAAAGAAGACAGAAACACAATGCTGTCTATTAACAAAAGCCTCACGAATAGTTTTCTCAAGTCGTACGAGGTGGTCCACCGTTGATCTGTGGGCACGGAAACCGCACTGCAACTTGTCGAGGAGGTTATTTTCCTCTAAAAAATGGACCAATCTTGAGTTTACCATTCGTTCAAAGGTTTTCCCTAAGGAACTTGTGAGGGCTATGGGCCGGTAACTTGAGGGTAATGATGGATCTTTTCCTTGCATGAGGAGCGGGATAACCTCAGCTCTTTTCCAAGAATCTGGGAACACCCCTTCTCTCCAGATCTGGTTAAAAAAGCTTAAAAGCACCTGCAGGGTATTGGAATTCAAATCCTTGAGCATACAGTAGTGAATTTGATCTGGTCCCGGGGACGTATTTTTACTTTTATTTAATGCTGCCTGTAACTCTCGAAAAGTAAAAGGTCTATTATAGGGTTCTCGTAGTCCTCCAGAGCAATTTATTCTCTTCTTCTCTATAACACTTTTATGCTTTTAAAAATGCAGCCGAGTAATGCGATGAACCTGATACTGATGCGAAGTGCTCCCCTAGAATATTGGCCTGCTGCTCAAGACTAGGCAATACACCACCTGGCAGAACGAAAAGCGGTATGGAGAAGGCTCGATAATCCCCATTAATCTTGTGCACTTTTTCCCAGACAACTTTTACACTGGTGTGACTATTAACGGAGGAGGTGTATTTCTTCCATGTCGTCTTTTTTGATTGACGACGGACATATCAAGCCTTCGCCCGAGCCTGTTTGAAGGCTAAAACATTTGGAGGGGTCGGGTACCGGCGTAGCACATCCCATGAACAATTTTGTTTTTTTCGAGTCTCACTGCACTCCTTAGTCCACCAAGGTTCTGGCTTAACTGGAAGGCGTGTAGAAGACTGCGGAATAGCTTTATGAGCTGCCTCAATTATAGAGGCAGTAAGGCATTTGCAGGCATCATTTACATCCAAGCCAACTAAAGTTTCAGGGTTAATTTCAGATGCACTTTCAAACATGGCCCAGTTTGCCTGGTCTACTTTCCAGCATGATGAACGTGTCATGAGAGAGGATGAAGGAGCAGTGCACTTTAAAATAATGGGGAAATGGTCGCTACCATATGGGTTAGGATGCACATGCCATGAGAAGTAAGGGAAAAGTGTGGCAGTCCCAATCGAGATATCAATGCATGATGAAGAAAGGTGTTGACAGCTAAAAAAGGTAGGCTCACCAGTGTTAAAAAGACAAAGTGTTCGAGAGAATAACACAGACTCAATAATTTTTCCTCGGATGTCACGACGTGTACTCCCCCATAGAGGGTTGTGACAATTAAAATCACCCATCAAAAGGAATGGCTCAGGAAGCTGGTCTAAAAACGAATTAAAATCTGAGGATTTCAAAGTAAAGGATGGTGGTATATACAAAGAGCACACTGTCAGAGCTTTGTGAAGCATGAACCGTACAGCCACTGCTTCCAGTGAGGTAGACAGTGGGACTTGTACGCAGGGCACTTCTCTCGGGAGAACCACCGCAACTCCTCCAGAAGAACCGACAGAGCAACGACGATCCTTGCGGAATACCTGGTACCGTCTGAGGAAGTTGGTGTGGCTGGGATTTAAATGAGTCTCCTGTAAGCAAAGCACACGTGGCTTGTGCTCCTCCAGCAAAAACTCCACATCATCCAGGTTATGTAGTAGCCCTCGACAGTTCCACTGCATTAGCATTAAAACCATTATTAAGATATGAAATTATGAGCACACGGATGAACAGTAAAAAAAAATATCATCCCTTCGGAGGTATCACAGGTTTTTTAGTTTTTTGCTTGGTTTTCGGATTCTGCCACTCCATCTCCTCCTGGTCAGACTCAGGGGTAGATGGGGAGGTGGATAAAGCAGGAGCACCGCTCTCCTGAGCTCCGCAAGCAGGCTTGCTTGCCGACCTGGGAGGGTCGGAGCTGCGAGATCCTAACCTGCGGCCACGACCAGAACCTGACGGGAGGGTGGCAGATGTACTGGGGAGGGATTCAACCCCGTCCATCTTCTCCACCTTCTTCTGTGTTACAGAAGCTGCATGAGGGCCATGCAGCTCCTTGGTTGCAGGCGGTCTCTCCAGGGAGTGAGGCCGAGGGCCTCGCTTTTTCTCCCTGGTAGGAGACCGTGCAGACTGTACAGGCGCAGCAGGCGCTGGTCTGTCTCGGGATGTGGGAGCAGCCCGCGAACCCTCTCCGCGAAGAGAGGGAGCCTGCTGCCCTTGGGTAGGCTTTGGGGTCCTGAGGGCGGCAGCCAGGTCTTCGAGCAAGACCTGGGTTGCCCTCGACTCCATACGCGGCGCAGGACCCCGGCGCGCCACGTCGGCATACGAGCCTTGTGCAAGGAATGATCAGCGTTTCTTGGCCTCAAGGTATGTAATGTTCTCTTTAGCCTTTAAACTCAGTATCTCCTTTTCCTGCTTCCACAGGGGACAGGCACGGGAGTACGCTGCATGGGTGCCTTTGCAGTTGGAGCAGCACACAGTGCTTTCACAGACGTCTGCGACATGTTCGATGCTGCCACACTTGGCGCAGATCTCTTCCACGGCAGCTCCTGGACCCATGCCCGAACCTTTGGCACCTGAAACACCTTTGGGGGTTCGGCACATAAGGACAGACACGGCAGTTCAGATAGCCTGCCTTTACTGTTGCTGGGAGACAGTGCCGTTCAAAAGAAAGAGTAAGATGTTTTGAGGGAATCTCCTGACCTTCGCGGCGAAGTATAATCCGCTTTACTGCAATGACACCCGAGTTTCGTAGGCCTTCGAGGATCTCATCCTCACTTACATCTAGCAGGTCCTCTTCGGAGATGACATTACGCACAGTGTTCAAAGTCCTGTGCGGTGTTACCGTGACTGAGGTCTCCACGATGCTCTTCATTTTCTGAATGGCCACACTTTGCTCTTGTGTGGTGACCTCAACAAGGAGGTCCCCAGAATGCAACTTTTTTGCTTGGTAGGAGTGTCTGATAAAATGCTCAAGAACCTTGGCAACAATGAACGGAGACAGCTTGGTGGCAGGGCGTTGATTGTCTTCAGAGTGGACTACAAAAAACTTAACAAAGTGTTCTGTTTTTGGTGCTTTGGCGATGACTTGTTCCGGGCAGGGCCATTTGGATGCCTGCCTGGAACCGGGTTTAGAGAGAGAGGGAGCCATAAGAGGCGGAAAGTGTTCAGAACCTGTGGTGTGCCGCCCACCACGGAGCCCAACAAGGGAATAGTTAACGGACCATAACAAAAAGGGCTTTGCTGGAACCGTTAGACTATTAGAACTGCCCAGGTACTATAACCAAGTGTGGTTTTGGACGAGGAGTCTGTCGCCACACAAGGTTAGCCCTTGCCGCCAAAGGAAATGAAAAAAGGAAAGAAGAGAAAATGAGAAGAGTGAAAAGAAGGAGAAGACAAAGGTAAAAGAGGGGAGGGGATAGTAGAAGTGGCGACTGACTGAATCATCCTGGTCGGGCCAAGCCAGGACACCCGTCTACGGGAAGCGGGGCCGAAGTGGTGTATTGCCAAACCCGGGGGGCCCCGAAGGGTCCAATCCTGCCCCAGGCTCGGCTCAACCACCAGGATGCCCTTTTCCCCGGACACGGGAAAGCCACGCACAGCCAGACGTGGGCGGGCGAACCCGCATGGCTCGGGGTCCGTGGAGACGCCACTCTCCAAACACCTGCTTTCACAGGTGCCCCCTGCGGGGGTTGTCTGGAAGGGCGTCTCTTCCCAACAAAATGTTACTGAATTTCAAGACGTCTTCTATCGCTGCCCATGAGAAACACTGCTTTATAGAGATGTCCATAAGAAGAAGAACATCCCCGAATGACATTGAGCTCCCGTTCCCAAGAAGAGTCGTGAACTCCAAGCGGAAAGGGGAACTATTCCCATCAGATGGAGGTGGAGATTCCGCAGCAGAGGGGGGCACACGTCTTCTTCGGTTGCGAGAACAGGACCATTATTAAGATTTTCGTCGAGCTCGTCAAGACTGTTGTCTGACACTCCATTGTCTGCTGCAGCAAGAGGTTCATCAAACTCATCTTCGCTATTGTCGCCTACCACTCTGTTGTCTGGTGCAACTGGATTACCGTCCAGTTCGTCTTCACTGTAGTCATTTGACACATCAACTGGATGTTGCAGCTGTAGAGCAGCTTGCTAGGGGAGAAGTAGACGGTGAAGCCGCGAGTGCTTTTTGTTTCAGATCGTGTACCGTTGCTCGTAGCAGAGGTTCGCGCCAAGCGTCTGGTTCCAGGTAGCGCTTTCGCGATTTGTAGTTACTTTGGTTCATAGTTCGCTTACATAGGCACACGAAGCAGAACCAGCACTTTCACACCACCACCACCTGCGCTCACGATGTTTTGGTATAGCCAGGGATAGCTAACCCTAACAACTTATGGATTGGCTCGCGTTGGCTACTAATGTCACTATTGTTTTCAAAGCAAATAAGTTGGTCTTATATTTTGAGGTTTAGTCTAAAGTAAAACATTTTATTCAAGATTAAGTTTATGAACCATACGTCAATAAAACAACGCAAACTATGCAACGTTTTTCAGTAGTTGTAGATTAAATTAACCTACAGCACAATCCAATCCAAACTAATCCAATCTGGCTCGGGGGCTAGGCTGGGTACTTCTCGTTTGTAATCTGCTGTTCTAAGCTTGTTGTTTTCAAACACTATGTTTGCACTCATTCGTTTCTTGGATGAATTTGATGAGACACCTTATGTTGTCTTTGCAAAGTCCAAAAAGGACTTTAATTTGACGGACGAAAACGACTACAAGAATGGCGTGTACAGCACGTACTGGGAGGACAAAGAAAAGTGCAAAAACTCTGGCATCTATTCAGCACAAATATTGCTGCTGGCATGTGAGTATCATTTCACCTCATATTAATTACTTGCTGTCATATTAATATTGCGAGCACTCGCTGTCACAATCTTTCTCGAACGTGGACGAAGGGGCCGAAGCACCCGCCGAGGAGAGACGACACGCAGCCTGGTTGTGAGGGTGGACGATGTCTGACCGGAGCGGCGTACGCTCAACGGTGTTTATTGGTGCGGTGAACAATGTTGCCCGCCGAGCCAGGCGGCCGCAGACGGGCGGACGGGAGGGGGGCGCTACATACTTGTTACACTCGCATAGATGTTTTGCCGAAAGCCAGCAGAGTATGTTTGAAAATAAATATTGTAGGCGGTGCGAGCATCAGAAAACACGTGCAACTGCGACCATATGCAATCAAATTCACGTTGGGAGACCACGGCTACCGCATGGATCCCACTTGCAGCTAGCCTATGGAAGCTGTGGCACTACCGGCAGTTTGTTTATTGAGCTACTGTGCCGGCCGCCGCAATATATCCACTTTTGTTTTTGCAGTTTGTTTAAACACAGTAATGACAAGCATAACACTTTACTGCGTGTTAAAGAAGAGCATATTCTATTACTCTGCTGACTCAGAGAGCAGCAAATCAGTTTTTTGTGCTAATTGTCTGAATAATAGAAAATCCGTCTGAATAAATAGAAAATCCCTCAGTGCTATATATGAATCATTCTTATTTCAAACGCACCTTTGCAAATTTTGTATTTTCTAATCGTGCTTTTTTGTACGTTTGCACATACATACAATTGCAATCCATTGAAATGTGAACAACGAAGTGCGTGGCTTTCTGTGCATGCTGCGCAGCCTGGCGACGGGCTAGGGAAGGTTTTGCATGTGCAGTAAGGTCAGAGATACGAGGGTTTGCGTTCAACTATGATACGTCTTGACCACCGCTTGGTTTGCAAGCGCTTTGTTTTGGCGCATGAGTCAAAGAGCTTGCACATCGAGCTCCAAGAGAAAAGGCTCCTCGGCGCCGTACAAAGCGACTTCTCACCGTTGCCGCAGCAACCAACTCTGCTTGCACACGCACCACGCAGCCAAGACCTTAGATAACGGTAGCTAGCGTCGCGGCTTGCCAAATCAAGCGCTCTCACATCAAGCGATGGTCCAAAGCTACGTCGAAGCATACCATTGTTGGACATGAATCCTTGTATCTCTGACCTTACTGTGCATGCGCAACCTTCCCTAGCCCGTTGCCAGGCGGCGCCGCATGTACAGAAACACACGAGCGTTTCCAGAACCGGATGACCAGAGAGGTTATTAGACAAAAACTATCAAGGCTCAGGCTGGGTGACTAATGTTTAACGTTTTGGGTTATTTTTAGACTTTAAAATGTTCATAATTGAATACTTAATTAATTTCTGTATCATTACGAATCTATGTACAGTCGAGCCCACTTATAACGGCCGCAGATATAACGAACGCTCGCTTAGTACGAACAAGGGTGGTGCTACCGTCAAAATATACATTGGGGCAATGGCACAGTGTCTCACATAGAACGAACTGTTGCGGCCTCACCACTCGGTTAGAGCGAACGCGAAGCTGTCCGGCCCCCGTAGTTGACAGAGCCGGCGGTGCTTGGCGCGGTTTCGCTCGACTGCGAACCCGCGGCAGACGAACTTCGCCCACGGAGCGTCCCCCGGACGCTCCTTTGCGGAGAAAATAAAGAAAAAAAGAAAAAGCGCGCGTTGAAAAATGAAAACGAAAAAGCGCGCGCGCGCGGTGACGAAAGAAAAAGTGGCGCCGCCCGCGTCGTCGGGATGCATCCACGTGATCTGCGTCGACCAATCCGGAAAGTTCGGCGCCTGCTCTACCCGCTTTACCGGCCCAAACCGGTTCTCCATTTGTTGCTGCTCCGTTGCCATCCCGGACCGCGGATATTGAGCCGTCGATTCTTTCTGTGCGATGGCACTGCGTTGACATCGTTGCCGCATTCGTGCTCTTCCCAGATCGGGGATTTGAAGGTTGCCTCAACGCGCGAGTCCAAGGGCTTGACTTGCGCCTGGTGCGATGGCGGACTGTATGCCGACCTCTTCAGGTGCTAAAAGGAAAGCAGTCGACATTGCAACGAAGATGGCCATTGTTAATGAACTTGCTCAAGGTGAAAAAAACGGCGATTTGGTCAAGAAGTATGGACTGTCGAAATCGACCATTTCGACCATTGCTAAGGACAAGGAAAAGATTCTTGGTGCTACCGTGAATGCCAACCCGACAAGAAAGCGCCTTCGGAAGGCGACCTACGCGGACGTTGAGGACGCACTGCTGAAGTGGTTCGCTGACGCCCGGTCTCGCAACGTTCCGATCAGTGGACCGCTGATCGGAACTTCGCCTTCCTTTTGGACTTTCCCGATTTCAGCCCAGGCAATGGATGGCTCCACCGGTTTAAGGCTCGCCACGGAATTGTTTTCAAGGCGGTCGTCGGCGAGGCCGCGTCTGTGAACAACGAGGACGTCGATGCATGGCTTTTCGACAACCTCCCAACAATTGCGAGCTATGCTCCACGGGACGTTTACAATGCCGACGAGACTGCGTTGTTTTATCAGATGTTGCCATCTAAAACGCATGCCTTGAAAGGCGACAAGTGCGCGGGAGGTAAGAACAGCAAGTTGCGGATAACCGTTCTTCTCTGTGCCAATATGGACGGCAGTGACCGGCGGCTACCTTTTGTTATTGGCAAGTCACGTAAGCCGCGATGCTTTGGAAGCTACGTGCCCGTACGCTACAGGAACAATACGAAAGCCTGGATGAGCCGCGACTTATTCGCCGAGTGGCTTGTCGAGTTTGACCGCGACATGGCACGAAAAAACAGGAAGGTCCTGCTCGTGCTGGATAACTGTGCGGCGCACCATGTGCAGCTTTCCTTGAGTGCGGTGACAGTTCTCTTCTTGCCTCCCAATGCAACCTGCAAAATTCAGCCCCTGGATATGGGCATTATTCATGCGTTCAAGGTGTGCTACCGGCGGCGCGTCATCCAACGCTTGTTGATCGAAATTGATCGGCCAGATGCCGCCATGCCGGTTCACATCAGCTTGCTTGCCGCCGTGGAGATGTTGAAGGCGGCGTGGATGGAACTCACCGCGGAGTGCATAGCAAATTGCTTCCGTAAGGCGGGTTTTATGGGCCCAGGCACCGAGGACGCCATAGATCACCCACAGGAAGGCCGGTCGCACGAGGACTTGTGGCAACGCGTCGTTGACACGCAGCTGGCCGGACCTGACGTTGCCTGGGACGATTTCGTTTCTGCTGATGACGACGCCGACATCGCGGAGCCGTGCACTGACGAAGCTATTGTGCGTGAAGTGCGAGCCCTTCCCGACTGCCCAGAGACCGACGAGGACGATGACGAGGATGCTGCTCTACCGCCGGTTGCTGTGAATGCTTCAACCGCGATCGGTTACATCGCGTCGCTTAAGGAACTCGTGTGCAGCAGAGGTCTTGGTGATGAACATATTACCGCGCTGGAAAAATTAGAAACGGCAGTGATGCGATCAGCTTTGAAGAAGCAGACTTGCATCATGGACTTTTTTCAAAAATAAAGTTAACTTTCTTCTCGCTTGCTCTTTTTGCCTGTATTATAGGTGGTCCACTTACTACGAACTTTGGATACAACGAACAAATGCCGCGTGGCGATCAAGTTCGTTATAAGTGGGCTCAACTGTACAACATTCAACTTTTTTTTCACATAATTTCCAATCATCACATTCTACGCTTCTTTCTAGCCTTTCTCTGTAAAGTAGCAGTTGTGAGTAGTGCTTCTCCTGTCCTGTCCTGTTATGCTATCTGATTGATTGATTGATTTTGGGTTTTAATGGCGCAGCGGCTGCTAAGGCCATAGTGCGCCAGAACAATGGTAGAAGAAAAAACTGCGGTGCTATTTAAAGGTGAGGCATAATATGAGAGTTTAAAATCTTTCATAAAATGTGAACAATACAAAGAAAATCCACTTAGATGTGCTGTAATAGGCCAATGCTGTTTAGGAAGTTAAAAACTTGGTTATGAGGAACAAGAGGCTCCTCTCCCAGCAAAAGGGCTGGGTGGAATGGGATCTGTTCTCTAAAAAACCGTGAAAAGTTGGTGCAACGCTCTTCATGATATTTCAGACATTGAATGAGAATGTGCAAGACGGAGAGTGTTTCACCACATTCTTCATACATTGGAGCATCCTCTGCTCGCAGAAGGAAGCCATGTGTGAGTTGAGTGTGACCAATTCTCAGGCGACAGAGAACAACTTCATAAAAACGCTCGTTATGTCGGCAACTGGCCCACTCGGAAAGAACAGGTTTCATGCAATGGAGTTTATTATGGACTTCAGTGTCCCATTCCTCCTGCCATTTCTTTTTAATCAACTTTCTCAATGAGGACCTGTAATGCTGGTATGGGATGGAGGTAACCTCTGTGTCCATGTTCTGACATGTTCTAGCAGCCTTATCGGCCTCCTCATTTCCGCCTATACCGACGTGGCTAGGGACCCAACAGAAATTAATGGTGATGTTGGAGTTTGTGGCAGCTACAATCTTGTTTCGTATTTGCAGAATAAAGGCATATTTTGATCGATCTAGGGATGCAAGTGCACGGAGTGCACTGAGAGAATCTGAGAAAATTACGGCGGCCTTGATATTCCTTTTGATGATAGTATCCACAGCTAACAGTAGGGCATATAACTCTGCAGAAAAGATGGTGGCTTGGTTGCTGAGCCGCGTTACAATATTGCATGACGGCCCGACTACAGCAGATCCAACACTGCTGCTCCCCTTCGTTCCATCCGTGTAGAACTGTACAAAGTTTTTGTAGTTTTCGGAGATTTGTAAGAACTCTTGCCTGAGATCTTCTGCTGGTACATTCTTCTTGTCGTACTTGGAAAGAGAAAAATTAATCGGAATAGATGTGATGTTCCAGGGTGCAACTGGGCTGGGCAACGCTGCTACCGGACTCGATAAGTCTATTGCAAAATTCTCGGCCTCAGACTTAAGGCGCAGAGGAAAGGGAGGTACAACAGAGGGTTTGTTCTGGTACGTTCTTTCATACCGCGTGTCCAGAAACACTTCGAGTGCAGGATGTCGAGGCATGGAGCGAACTCTTAAGTGATATTGAAGGCCCAAGAACAGACGTCTTTTTCCAAGGGAGCATTCATTAGATTCAGCGTAGAGACTGGGGACTGGAGAGGTCCGGAAAGCCCCCGTTGCAAGTCGTAGTCCCAGGTGGTGGACAGGATCCAAGACCTGAAGAAGAGACGGCCGTGCCGAGCCGTACACCATGCAACCATAATCTAATTTCGATCGAACAAGGCACTGATACAAACGCAGCAGGCACCTTCTGTCACTACCCCAGGACTTGTGAGAAAGAACTTTTAAAATATTCAATGCTAGCAGGCATTTCTTTTTTAGTTGCAAGATGTGACTACAGAAGCTAAGTTTCTTATCAAAAATAACCCCTAAAAATTTATGCTCAGGACGTACGTTTAGGGTCTGACCTCCCAAAGTTAGAGTGGGTTCTATAATGATACCCCTTCGAAGAGAAAACAGAACACAGACTGTTTTCTCCGCTGAGAAACGGAAACCATTCTCATCTGCCCAACGTGTCATTCCATTAATACCTAGTTGAACTTGGCATTCACAAATAGCTGAATTACACGAAGAGCAGGAAATTTGCACATCATCAACATAAAGTGCATAGGAGAGAGATCGGGGAAGAACCTGTCTAAGAGAATTCATTTTGATCAGAAACAGAATAACACTCAGCACTGACCCTTGGGGAACACCATTCTCTTGGACAAACGTTTCAGAAAGTGTCGTGCCCAACCTCACTTGGAACGAGCGCTCATCGAGGAAGCTCTTGATAAGAGCTAGCATTTTCCCACGAATTCCAGCTAAAACTAAATCACTTAAAATTCCGTACCGCCATGTGGTATCATATGCCTTCTCAATATCGAAAAACACCGATAAACAATGTTGTCTGTTAACAAAGGCATCCCTGACTGTTTTTTCTAGGCGAACAAGGTGATCAACAGTTGATCGCCCTGTCCGATACCCACATTGAAATTTGTCGAAGAAGTTTTCCTGTTCTAAAAAATACACCAATCTGGAGGTCACCATTCGTTCAAACGTTTTTCCCAGAGAACTGGTTAGTGCGATTGGTCTGTAGCTGGAGGGTAATGATGGATCCTTTCCAGACTTTAGCAAAGGAATCACAATTGCCCTTTTCCAGAGAATGGGATAAGCTCCACTGCACCATATAGAGTTAAAAAAACAACAGGATGGTATCTAATGTTGCAGGATGTAAATGCTGAAGCATACTGTAATGAATAAGGTCTGGCCCTGGGGACGAGTTCCTTCCCTTGTCAAGGGCAATCATTAGTTCCACAAGGGTAAATGGTTGATTATAAGCCTCGTTAGAACCACCGGTACATTTTATTGGCACTTTCTCTTTGGCAGCCTTGTATTTTAGAAATGTGTCTGAATAATGCTCAGATCCCGAGACAGACATGAAGTGTTCCCCAAGAATATTTGCCTGCTGTTCTAGTGTGGGAACACGACTACCATCTAGTGTAGAGAGGGATAGTAAATGCACGGTAATCCCCTCTAATTCTATGGACCCTGTCCCATACGACTTTTACACCTGTGGAACTGTTGACTGAGGAAGTATACGACATCCAGGTGGTCTTTTTTGATTGGCGCCTTACACAGCGGGCCTTAGCACGTAGCTTTTTAAAATTAATGACATTTTCAACTGTTGGGTAACGGCGCACTATTGTCCATGCACAGTTTTGCCGCTTACGAGCTAGGCTACACTCCTCATTCCACCAAGGCTTTGGTTTTGATGGTAAGCGTCCTGTCGTTTTTGGAATAGAGCGCTGTGCTGCTTGGACAATTACATTAGTCAGGACTTCACAGGCTTCATTGACATCTAAGCTAACTAATGTGTCTGGATGCAACTCTGACTCCTTTTTAAAAGTGGCCCAGTCAGCCTTTTCTAACTTCCAACGTGGAGTTCGAGTTTGTAATGACTTAAAAGAGACTGTGCTTTTTAAAACAATGGGAAAGTGATCGCTACCATAGGGACTCTGATCTACACTCCATGAGAAGTCAGGCAGCAACGAGGCACTACCAATGGAGAGGTCGATGGAGGTCGATGATAAGGATGAGGTGCTAAAATAAGTTGACGTACCAGTATTAAAAAGACAAAGGCTTCGAGAAGTTAAAACTGATTCGATTATTTTCCCACGAACATCAGTTCGATTCCCACCCCAAAGGGTACTGTGGGCATTAAAATCCCCCATCAAAAGAAAGGGCTTTGGAAGTTGATCTAAAAGAGAATGAAGTTCTGCACTGGTTATAGCTTGTGAGGGTGATAAATATAGTGAACAAACAGAAATGGCTTTATGTACTAGAACACGCACTGCCACTGCTTCTAAAGGAGTGTGTAAGGGTATGGCCGTACAAGCAGCCAGCCTTGGAACCACTATCGCTACTCCTCCAGATGAAATGGTAGCATTTGGGCGGTCCTTCCGGAAGACAGTAAAATTTCGGAGGAAGTTGGTATGTGTGGCATTTAAATGTGTTTCCTGTAAACACAGGGCTGCAGGTTTGTGTTCCTGCAGAAGATAGTCAACGTCGTCAAGATTAGTAAGCAATCCCCTGCAATTCCATTGAAGAAATGTTGCAGTCATGTGTTAGAGATTGTTACTTTGGAGGTATTATTTGTTTTTTACTTTTATGGCGGGCCTTGGGAGCCTGCCACTCCATGTCTTCTGTGTCAGACGCATGAGAGGAGGCCTGGGTATTCTCATCCATAGGTTCCGACTCCTGTGGTGAGACCTTTCCGGAAGGTGTGGAAAGACTCTGGCCACGAGGTGCCAGGCGTCGGCCTCGACCACCTCCAGCCAAAGAGGCATTGGAGGTGCCAGGCAGGGAAGTGCCGGAGACTTCCTCTTCCTGTCCTTTGGGTGTTGGAGTGGCACAGGAACCATGCCGCTCCTTGGATGTGGATTTCCTCTCCTGAGGGCGTGGGCCCCTCTCCCTTGAAGGGGATCGCGGGCTACGGCCAGGCTTGGCCGTTGCCGACCCATCCTGCGAGGGGGATGCCGTCTGTGCCCCCTCGCCACTAACTGGGACAGACTGCTGCCCCGTGAGAGCGGGAGGGGTGGTGGTCTGGCTGGAGGAGGCAGTAGATCCCCCAGCCGTTACTGCACGCCCGGGCAGCTGAATTTTCAGCTTGGGCGTGGGGGACTGCTGTGGCTTCCGGTAGTCCAAAAAGGATGTTTGGGTAGCCACTGCAACCTTCAGTGGTGCATGTCCCCGCTGCATCACCTGCGCATAGCCGCCCTTCCGCAAGAAAGCGAAACGGCGACGTGCCTCTTGGTATGTTAAGTTTTCTTTTACTTTTAGTGTCAGAACTTCTTTTTCATCTTTCCATACCCTACATGATCTGGAGTACGCTGGGTGGGCCTCATTGCAGTTTGCACACTGTGCACTGTTTGTGCAAGAATCCGTCTTGTGGTCGGTTTTGCTGCATTTTGCACATGTGGCTTTCCCACGACAATTCTGGGAACCATGTCCATATTTCTGACACTGAAAACATCTCCGGGGGTTAGGGATATATGGTCGAACCCTACAGTGGAGGTATCCAGCCTTGACGGCTTCAGGAAGTTTGGTGGCTTCAAAGGTTAGAACTATGTGCTTTGTTCTTAATTCCTGTCCGTCTCGTCGCATGCAGATACGCCTTGCGGCCACGACCCCTTGGTCAGAAAGACCTTCAGCAATTTCGTTGTCAGTTGACTCTAAAAGGTCATCCTCAGAGATAACTCCCTGAATCGTATTCAGTGTGCGATGTGGCGTGACTGACACCTTATGGTCGGATACCGCACTCAGTGCAAGGAGGGCCGCACTCTGTTCGCTGGTCTCAATTTCCACCAGAAGGTCGCCAGTAGACATTTTTTTGGCTTTGAAGCTTTTGCCCACAACACTTTCGAGTACTTTCGCAACGAGGAAGGGCGATAATTTTGATAACTGCTTTTCACCTTCGGAATGAATCACCAAAAACTTTGGGTACTTGGATTGGTTACCTGGAGTCTTGTCTGAGATTAAAACTTCGGTGCGGACTCTTTTGGGAGGCCGATCAAGTTGGTTTTGCTTGGAACCCATAAAGATGGGGAGGTTTTCAGAAACCGTGGCGCACCGCCCACCACCGAGCCCAACAAGGGGGTAGGTAGCACCCCATAGCAAGTATACCTTGGCTGGGTATGCTACTCTACCAGTGCTACCCAGTAACTATAACCAAGTGTGGTTCAAGAAAGTTATCTGTCGCCACCCAAGGTTAGCCCTTGCCGCCTAAGAAGGTGAAAAAGGAAGGAAGAGAGTGTAGAGGGAAAGAAAGAAAAAGGAGGTGGAAGGAAAAGTGAAAGGAGGAAGAACAGGGTAGAAGAGGCGACTGACTGAATCATCCTGGTCGGGCCAAGCCAGGACACCCGTCTACGAGAAGCAGGGGCCGAAGCGGTGTATTGCCTCGCCCGGGGGGCCCCGAAGGGTCCAAACATACCCCGGGCTTAGCTCAACCACCAGGGTCCCCTTTTCCCCGGACACGGGTACGCCACGCACAGCCAGACGTGGGTGGGCGAACCCACATGGCTCGGGGTTCGTAGTGACGCCACTCACCAAGCACCTACAAAAGTAGGTGCCCCCTGCGTGCGGGTATGGTGGCCCACGTGGCTGGGGTCCGTGGTGACGCTACTCACCAAGCACCTAGCACCTAAGGTGCAGGCGCCCCCTGCGGGGCTCGGGGTCCGTGGAGACGCCACTCTCCAAACACCTGCTTTCACAGGTGCCCCCTGCGGGGGTTATGCTATCTAATATATATGTTCACACTAGAAGAGCTGTCTTGCATTATGTAGTAGATCAATAGAATCGGCACCATACGCAACTAAAGTTGAATATTTATGTATCCAAAGATCTTTTTCAAAAGTTGGTGCCACCACCTTCCCGCCATTGCTTTGCTTTATCACATACTCTGAGCAAGTATTGCACACAAGGGCTGTGTTAGCATTCGGCGTGAACTCAGCTCAGCTCGTACTGGAAACAAGTGCTACGTCAGCGTTCGAAGAGAACTCGGATCCAGCTACATGCTTCGTGTACAAGCAGTGGCGACTGTCAATGTTGTTGATAGGCTCTTGAAAAGGGTCCATTGAGCTCGCTATAGACTATTTTCAAGCATTGGCAGAGTTATAGGCACATAGCATTCATTTGTGCCTATACCTATATGTATTTTGCATCTGTGCTATATATTGCAACTACCTCATTAGAGCTCTGGTGCCAACATATTTCCCAGGATGAAAATAATTTTTTTGTTCTAATTATTTGCTGTAACAGACACCAGAGAGGATCTTGAAAAGAAGCAGACATCTGATTTTGAGGCTGAAGACAATACTGCAGCTTCATCTGACAGGGTATCATTGAAGCAGGTATGGTGCTTATAAAGCAATACTAAACTGAAATTTAAATTTCCCAGAACAGTGTATTCCGAGCATACATTTTATAATGTAAACTAGACAACTAAAATAAACCTTTGAAGAAAACTTGAGTTGACAACATGCAGGTACCAATATTTTCAGCTTGCTCTACAGTGGTTGTTTGGAATCAACAAGACCCTATATAAATGCATGCCGTCTTGGGCCTCATATACATTGCTTGTTCCCGAAAAGTGTCATGTTATAGATTTTGGTTGTACATCGGAATATCCAGGTAGTCAAAGTTAATAATTTCATAATTTTATCTTGTGTTTGGGTGTGTCATTGCCTTCAATGGGTTGTCACATTGTTTCCCTTTTTAGAGTGCAGCTCTTAGGGGCCCGTTTCCGTCTTGAGCGGCGTCGCCGTCGGCGTTGGCGTCGGCGTCACCGCGAGGTTACGTGACCCCCCGAGGCCACGTGACCCCCCGAGGCCACGTGACCCCCCGAGGCCACGTGACCCCCCGAGGCCACGTGACCCCCCCGAGGCCACGTGACCCCCCGAGGTCACGTGACCCCCCTCAGGTCACGTGTCCCCCCTCAGGTCACGTGACCCGCCTCAGGTCACGTGACCCCCCTGAGGCCACGTGACCCCCCTGAAGTCACATGACCCTCCGAGGTCACGTGACCCCCCTGACGTCACGCGAGCCCCCTTAGGTCACGTGACCTCAAGGAGTCACATATTCCTCAGTATGCTTCCATCTTCCTCCTCAAGAGCTGCGCTCTAACCGGCGTTACAGGGAATTGTAAACGGCTTTCATTTTTTTAGGGCAAAAAAAAGCCAAAAAGAGATGCAGCAAGCAGCAAAAAGCAGTGCTTATGAATGTATCCTGCAAGAGCAACTAAGCAAATCAGAGCAAAAACAGTGGTGTCGTCAGTGCTGTCAGTGTATGTAACAGATCATTCTTCTTTGTGTTAATGCATAGTCTTTATACCACAGAAGGGCATGTTTCATTGTTGTAAAATACAGAAAACGGAGTACAAAGTATGACGACAAGAAAGGAAGGAGACAGGACGAGCAGGCTCGTTTCGTTCCTTCGCGCGCTGTTTTCTTGGATCAATCATGAACCAACTTCCCCATATTGCCACCTTAGTTTCATGTGCTGCAGTAGTATTTGTACAGGGTGCTATTTTTTGTTATGTGCCTTGCAGGCACCTGGAAGGAGGAAACGCCAGTTGAGTGATTCAGATAGCGATACAGACGAGTCCGTTGTCGTCAGTCGAGCTGAAGAGGGCAAAGACAGACGCAGCATTCTGGCGGCGGCGCTACACTGAGGCTTGCCAGGAGAAGGAGAAGCTCACCAATATTATTGAATCAATGCAGAGAACCAGTGATGGCAAGCTAGCAGCAAGTGAGTACCATAACAATTATGTTTGCTTTGTAGTAGCTCTCATGGTTTATACTTATAACTTTTTTCTTCAGTTCAACAGCTGCGAGAAGCACAGGGTCCTGCACTGCCGTCACAAGCAGGTGAACTTCGTTGTGGTATGTTGATTATATTCTCATCCAAGGTGTCTTAAAAAAAAACAAAATTTGAAGGATCTCTGACACACAAAATATTACTTCATTTCAATGCACTTCGAAACAGCACTCAAAACGTTTTCAGTGCAGAATCATTTATTTCTAAAATGGCTCGTGGAAACAAGACTTCAGGATAATTAATATCACAGTACTTTTACTGCCACGAGTTGTCCAGGCACATTCATGTTAGCAAATTGTTTCTAACATTTATAGTTCACCCTGGGCGTCGGCACGTCTATGATGCAAAATCAAAAAGCTCCGAGACTAGTTTTAAATAGCAAAGAAGAGAGCAGCATGGCGATGTGCACGCAGCATTAGAGAGCAGTAATCATCTGTCATTGTGCCGAGTTGCATCATTCTAGCGATCATTGTGATCTGTGGTACAATGGTTACAGAACTAATGGTGCTTATGCTTTGCTACCAAGGCATTCAGAATTAATTATTTTATTCCTAGCAGCAGAACTCTTCTGCAGGTAATGACATTTCTTAAAGAGTTCTCGTCTTTGTTTTCAGTTCAATGGCTGCCAGAACCAAGGAGCCCTAGGGTGATGTCAGGAGCAGCAGAATGTCACTTCGGTAGGTTGTTGTTGTTGTTGTTAGAACGTTCTTTATTGCCCTGTTATATATAATATATGTATACATATATATATATATATACACATATACACACACATATACCATACACACATATAATGCACCATTGTCGTCTGCATCGGTGCGGGCCTAAGGATCTGCCGTTGCCGTCATGGCGGTCTGGGTGGGTGTTGGTCCCAGCGCCTTCGGCTGCTGCAAAGTCGTCCACCGGGGCCGTCGTCGTCGTAGACGAACTCCGCCAGCTTTGTCCACAGCAGGGAGACGATCGTCTTGTCACGACTGGTGGGTAGAATCCAATCAACATACGTCGCCGGACGGATCTCGTCTGGGAGTTCCTCCAGTTTTGTTTTCCGAAGGCTAGCGTGGCGCTCGCACTCCCAGACAACATGGGCAGCCGTCGCGGCACTCCGGCACCGGCGACACGCCCCCTCGTCAGGATCGTCGCCGAAGAACTTATGGCGCAGCGCTGGGGATAGGACAGTGTTGGTCGCGAGGCGGCGGACGAGGGTCTGAGTGCTCCTCGGTAGGTCATTCGGCATCGGAGGAACGGGACGCAACTGCTCGTCCGGGCGTTCCTCCCGCTCCTCACGAAAGTGCCGTAGGATTCTCCGCCTTCGCTGTTTAGCACTTTCCTTGACGACAGACGGGTCGGCCGCCTCGCCGGCTGAGTTGTGGAATGCGTTCGGCGCGGATGCCATCTGGCGAACTGCTGCTCGCGCCTCGCTGTGGGCCCACTCATTGCCGTCAACGCCCGCATGCGCGGGCACCCAGGAAATAGTAGCTTGGATGTTGAGCTTGTTTCGAAGTTCTAGGAACGCGGCGAGCAACTCGCCGACTATTCCCGTGTACATTGAGGGGCTCCCGCTCGCTCGTCTGCAAGTTTCGTACGCGCGAGTCGAGTCGGTGAACAGTAGGAGCCTGTGTGGGATGTCTGTTGGTGAAAAAGTTTGAAGAACCCACTGGGATGCTCGGAGAAGTGCCATGAGTTCCGCTTGCGTAGTGTCGACGTCTTCAGTGGTCGAAAGCGCAGCCGCGTTCGGAATGCCATGGGTGGTGTCGACCCACGCGACCGCCTGGACGTGCTTGGGGGTTCTGTCCTCTCCTTCCCCGTCGTCGCCGGTAGTCGACAGCAAGGTCTCCGCCATGTCAGTGTAGATGGTGTGCGTAGGCGGTGATTTGTGCGCGACGCTGCGTGTGTGCGCTTTGGCAAAGCGTTTGCGTCGCTCCGAGTTGCTCGTTCCAGGTCCCATGTTTCGTGGGAGGGGTTTTCCGTCGGTAAGGGTAACCGGGGCGGCCCACGGAGGGGGCGAGTGCGCGTCTGCCGGGCGGACGCCCAGACTGGGAGGCACGCCAAGCTCTTCCAATATGGAAAGCCCAGCTGTCGAGCTGCTGAGGCGGTCTCTCTGGGCGAGGAGCGCCTGTTCGGCGAGTTCCGACAGGAGGTTCATGCCGCCGTGTGCGTACAGCTCCCGAAGGGGCGTATACTTAGGCAGTCCGGTAACAATGCGGATGGCTTCGCGATTGAGTTTCTCGAGTTGCTCCGCCTGCCTGGGCCACTTCGATGCCCCTTTTTTTTTTTTTTAGATATACAAATATAATAAAAAGGACATGTCATGGTGTTAGGTCGTGCTTTTAACAAAAAAGGCACACGTGGCTGTAACTTGTTTTTGTGACGCTTAGGGTAGATAATTACGTTTGCGCCGTAAAATTGAATCTTTAGTGCCCAACGTCCATCAACAGCTGCTTTTTTTCTTTTTCGTTTTTGAGCTTTTGTTCCTTTCGAGGTGCATATTCTGCACATATAATAATCTCATTCACAGCACACCTTGAAAAATTCCTACAAAGAAAATCACTATTCAATATCCGATTCAATATTCGGCTCTTTTTTCTTAATTCAATTCGATAACTGCTATTCGGTATTCGCGCACCACTACTTATAAGCACATTAAAAATAAGTAATATTTCGGGGCATCAGGAGCCCATTAAGGTAAGCTACCTTTTATAATACCGTACTCACCTTACAATAAGAACATAATTTACCCACTTCGGTAGGTAAATTATGTTCTTATTGTAAGGTGAGTACGGTATTATAAAAGGTAGCTTACCTTAATGGGCTCCTGATGCCCCGAAATATTACTTATTTTTAATGTGCTTATAAGTAGTGGTGCGCGAATACCGAATAGCAGTTATCGAATTGAATTAAGAAAAAAGAGCCGAATATTGAATCGGATATTGAATAGTGATTTTCTTTGTAGGAATTTTTCAAGGTGTGCTGTGAATGAGATTATTATATGTGCAGAATATGCACCTCGAAAGGAACAAAAGCTCAAAAACGAAAAAGAAAAAAGCAGCTGTTGATGGACGTTGGGCACTAAAGATTCAATTTTACGGCGCAAACGTAATTATCTACCCTAAGCGTCACAAAAACAAGTTACAGCCACGTGTGCCTTTTTTGTTAAAAGCACGACCTAACACCATGACATGTCCTTTTTATTATATTTGTATATCTAAAAAAAAGGGGCATTTTGCGATATTTGGTCTTAATTTTAACAGAGAAAAAGGGCACCCGGGATTTTATTTTATATAAATAAACAGAAAAGTGTTAAATCTAAGTAAACAGGCTTAAATAATATAATCTGAAGTAAGAAAAAAAATGTGGTTAGGTGGCGCAAGTCACCGTCCAACTTCCGCTATGCATCCATTCCTCCATTGTGGTCGGTTTGCCTTGCTGCATACCCGACCCGGAGGAATAACACGGAGCCAACGGTTTCAACAACAAGAAACTACATTTAATGGGACATGGACGAGACGATTAACATGGTTACCACCGGTGCCCGAGTCCAGGCAGCGACTCTCCGTGCGCCGCCTCTGATCTGCCTTATCAAGGCGGCGCATCCGATGTGCGCGTGGCTGGCGTGACATCGCCGCCACGCGGGAAAAGTTTGGCACCTTTGCCTCGCAGTCGGCTAACTTGGCTTGGGAGTCGCCAGGGCGCCCACACTTCCTCCCCCCCCTCAAGCTTCGTCCGGCATGTCGATGACGGAGACGTTGTGGGCGTCAGGAGGTGGATGGCGCTGTTGGGCGGACTGACGTAAGTCCAGCCGGCGCCTGCTGGACGAGCGCGGCGGCTGCTGACGAGCACGGCGGCTCGGTCAGCTCCAGCTTGTCGCTTGAGCTTGTTCGAGATCAGGGCTCCACCAGGTGGCTGCTTTGCACGTGGTCCCTGATCCAAGCCAGCTGCCGCTCCATCCTGCAGAGGGTGGTGGCGGTCCATGGTTCCCTGGGCCGTCCCTGGCGCGCCGACGTCCATGAGACCGGCCGCCGTGTCGTTCCGATGGCGGCTGTGGTGACGGTGTTGTCCATGGGCCAGCTTCGTAGAAAAACAAGGAAGCAGATGACACGGGGCTCAGTTGGGGGTTGAGCCTGACGTTGTCTTCGCATGCACCCCTTCCAGAAAGTTTGAAATAACGGATCTGAGGTGGGTACACAATCTTCTCCCCCTCTCTTGAAAAGGGGGCAGATCCGTGGAAGTCGAAAACTACCCCCAAAATGCGAGAGGCCAAGGAGACAAAAAAAAGGTTCCTCTCTCTTCGGTGTCACCGACGTCGCAGGTTATACCGCCGCCTTGGTAGAGACAAGGGGGTTTCCGGAACGGGACTGCAGTCAGTGTCGTTCCGGTCCTGCGAGGAATCTTAGTCTTCTGCTTGAAAAAATCGTTTAAGGTCAGTGATATGAACAGGTCCGATTTCCTCACTATACTCACAGTGAACTAGTTCGTAAGTGAGCGGTGAACACTTTTCATGCACGCGAAACGGACCTTCCCACCTGTTTGCGAGGGCGGCTGCGAAGCCTCGAGCGGCGTCACTCAATGGGTGAGTACGCCGAAGTACAAAATCTCCCACCTCGAACTGCAAGTCACGTCGCCCCTGGTTGTACTGTTTTGCCTGCTGTACTCGGGCGACGTCAAGATTTTCTCGGGCTTCTCGAAGGTTATCGGAGAAGTGCTTTCGCAGGTCCTCTGCGAACTTCACGTAGGGGCGAAGCCTTCCCCCTGACTCTGTAGAAAGGAGACTGTTAAAAAGCGGGAACGCGAGCTCCTTGCCGAAATTCAATTGGGCAGGAGTGAGACCCGTTGACCGATTAGTGGTCGTACGGGTTGCGAATGCCAGCTCGGGCAGTTTCGCGTCCCAGTCCTTGTGGCGCTCGGTGTAGGCCACTAGCATCATCTTAAGGTTCCGATTTACCGTTTCCGTGATGTTTGCTTGCAGGTGGTATGGGGAAGTTCTTTTGTGCTTGATTCCCAGCACCGCGCATGCATCTACGAACACCTTACTCGTTAGATAGGAGGCATTATCGCTTACAAGCTGTGCACAAAAGCCAAACCTGGCGAATGTTTCAAGTAGACATTCCCAGATTTTTTGCGAATCTAGCTTCAGCAATGGAAATAACTCAACCCACTTCGTGAAGTGGTCGGTTACCACGAACAAGTACTGATTGCCGCGGGTACTACGTGGGAAGGGGCCCATGACGTCACAGCAACAAATCTGCCAAGGGCTCTGACTCGCGATTGGTTGCATGAGACCGGGGGACTGGCCACCACGTGATTTTGCCTTCCGACATACCGAGCAGCTACGGGCATATTGGAGCACATCTTGCCCCATGCCTGGCCAGGTAGCAATTTGAGATAACTTTTTGTAAGTCTTGCTCCCACTGCTGTGTCCTGCCAAGGCAGAGTCATGCATGTATCGGATGAAAAGCTTACGTAGCTTGCGGGGTATCACGGTCCAGAATGCCGAGCCATCCGGATCGTCGTCGTCCTGGGAGATGTAGCGTAGCAGGAGGCCATCGTCGCTCATCAAGTACGAGTCTAACTCCTCGTCACTTGGGCGGTCGACTGGACCTCTTGCTGCCAGCCAAGCGGACACGCGTTGGCAGAGTCCGTCATCCAGCTGCACCTTGCGAAGCT